AATTGAATTAAATAATAAGTTAAAAAATATCATACAAATTATTTTATCCAAAAAAAATCCTAAAAATATGTAAAATAAAAGTTTGTGTTTAATATACATAAATTTATTATTATTATTATTATTATTTTAATAATTACAGTTTTATTTCACTATTATTTTTTCTATTTTATTAGTGTTGAATGTTTTATTATCATTATTACCTTATATTAACTAATTATAATAATTACTTATAATTTTTAGATAGTTATATATTATTTGAAACTATTAAATTAACATAAATAATACGTTTTTTTTAAAGGATTTTTTAAAAATTTGGGCTAATTGTAATTTTGGGTGTGTAGTATTTGAGGCGAATTGTAGGCAAAACCCCCTCCTCTTGCTCCTCTTGCTCCGGCGTTAGGGTTTTCTTCCTCCTTCAAACTCCATCGCCGATTCTTCGCTCCAACCTTTCCCTTCAAAACATGGCTACCAGTACAATCTCCACCACTCTCCTTATTCGTTTTTGTTTATTCATGTTTTCTCAATGAGGTCTCTTTCGTTTTATGCCTGCAGCTACTGCTAGATCTTTTCTCCAAGTCGCCGCGACGGAGGAGGTTGCGCCGCCTCTCAGAGTCGTCCAGATTGAAGGACTGGTATCAATTCTACGCTTTCCATTCTCATAGTTAAGCTTCAAATTGTTTATGCATCTGTCTAATGTTCACGTCTTCATTGTCTATGCTGATGGCGATCTGGTCGTAGCTAGGTTTATCTTATATGTGTGTGTATTTTAATAGAATTTTCAATTAATTTTTCCATGATAGAGAATAGTGACATTAGTGTGGGTGCTATTGTCTCTTGGTTGAACAGGTTATACTGAAGATAATTAAGCATTGCAAGGACCACTCGCCTTCTTTAGTCACTGGACAACTTCTTGGGTTGGATGTTGGCAGTGTTCTTGAAGTTACCAACTGCTTCCCCTTTCCAGTATGATGTCACCTTTCTTTGTTTCTCCATTTTTGAATCCTTTAATGTTGCGCTCCTAAAGTTGTTGTTGTTTCTGTTTCTAAAAATTGCAGATGAGGGAGGAGGACGAGGAAATTGAAGCTGATGGTGCTAATTACCAGCTTGAAATGATGAGGTGCCTGAGGGAGGTTAATGTTGACAACAATACCGTTGGATGGTATATAAGATGAAAATACCACTTCTCAAATACCTGTTCTAGTGCTTCAATTTCAATTGTTTTATATTATTGTAAATGTGAAGGAATTTTGGTTCTCTGATTCTAGGTACCAGTCTACATTGCTTGGCTCCTTTCAGACTGTGGAGCTTATTGAAACCTTTATGAATTACCAGGTAATGAATGGTTATCAATTTATTTTGCATGTTTTTGCCTAAGCTGGGGTTTCTTGGTTTGTATCTTGTATAGTTATGTTTTTATGGAAACCAAATGCTCCGATAGTTTGCTATTAAATGTAAATGTTCACACCTCTCTAAACTATTTGACCTGGGTCTAATGTGGTCATTATAGGGAGGTGATTGCAGTAAGTTACATAATAACCTTTGGAACTATAAATCAAGAATTCCCAATAGACGTCATAAAATGTGGTCTGCACCACCAAGGATTTGAACTTCTGAACGGGCACCTATTTTGACTTTATGATAATTAGGAAGTATATTGTTCTTGATCAAGAGTGCCAGGTATTGGCATAATTTGTTGGATGAAAGTTAACTCTGTTACAATTAACTGAGAATTTTAAATGAGCTAACTATATTATATCTACAAACTTGCTTATTATATTACTTTGAAGTAGAAACAGCTGTTATTAAAACAAGGGAAGTTGGGTGGACTAGTTAGAATGACGAACAAAACTATATTTGTCTATAACCAGATGATGAAAATATCATGCCTTTTCCATTTAGGTTTTCTGTTGCTTAAATTTACTAATAATGGCTGATAATGATTTCTGATATTTAAAACATAAAAGCTAGTTTATTGGATGACAGTGGCAATCCTTTGTGCATATTTTTTTTCAGCTGAAGGCAATTTTTTCAACAGTATCTAATCTGGTAAATAACCATTTGTTTCCAACATACCAATGTTTTTCAGGAGAATATTAGACGCTGTGTTTGCATAATATATGATCCATCAAGGTCAGATCAAGGTGTTCTAGCTCTGAAAGCCTTGAAGCTTTCTGACTCATTCATGGAACTCTATCGCAGCAATAATTTTACTGGAGAGAAGTATGAATTTTCTTCTGTATTTCTTGTTGTCTTTAAGTTGAACCATTTGATTTCTTATTTTTCCGTCTTGTGAAATAGATTGAGGGAGAAGAACTTATCATGGGTGGACATCTTTGAGGAAATACCGGTAAGTTCTCTGTACATTTCCCTTTCCCTTTTTAGTGATTTGACCAAATATTCCTTCATATAATGAATTTCTGTTAATATGGAATGTCTATACTTACCAAATCATCTTAATTGTAAGGCGATTGAAATTTTGAAATGATCATAAAAAACATTTGTCATGGTGGATTAATATGGTAATAATCTTTATCTTATTTCTTAATGCAGCAATTAAGAATGAAACAGACATGTTACTGGATAAGATGAATAATTTTTGTACATATTTTGTAGTATGGAAGTGTATTTATTAGTTTTGTTAGTAGGTTTGTAATTAATGCTGATCATGCTTTCATATATATTTATTTATCAGATCAAAGTTTCAAATTCTGCTCTTATCAGTGCTTTTATGACAGAGCTGGAACCTGATACTCCAGTCACCCAGGTGAACTATGATCTTCAATAAAGATTATTTTGGTCATTTTAAATTTAGTTTGTCTTTACATCTGTTGTTGTGCCATTGCAGTGTGACTATGATCGTTTGCAATTGTCAACCAGTTCATTAATGGAGAGGAATATGGAATTTTTGATTGAATGCATGGATGACTTGTCCCTAGAACAACAAAAGGTTATTTTAGTTTAGGTCTGCATTTAGTATGTGTGTGTGTTGCTTTAAAATGTGATTGACTGAAATTTCTTCTATTTTAGTTCCAATTCTACTATCGGAGCTTGTCTCGTCAACAAGCACAGCAGCAAGCATGGCTTCAAAAGAGAAGGTATGCTTCAGTTTGTAGTTCAATTTTTTTTGTATGATTTATATTAAATGAACATGGATTTGAGTCGTAGGAAGCTTTATAATCCAAACTATTTTGCCATTAAAATTATATATATTGCACTTGTAAATAAAGCTTCTGTTGCAAGAGTATGCTGGAAAATAGAATTTACTTATGGTTGAGGATATATGCCTAACAATCGGTACCTATTATATATTGGTTTAATTAAATGAACTAGTATAACCGATAGTGATTGGTCACAGTGGAAGCTAGGCAAGCTTTGCCCCTTAGTCTTACAACTTTGTTTGTGAGGATATCTGGCCGAATAGGCAAATACTAAAAAAATGAATAAGGATTGAGAGATTGAAAAGAATGTGTTTATGTGGTTAGCGGTGGATGGGTGAATCAAAATGCAATAGTGCATCAATGGTAGTGCGATTGAGTTTTATTTCTGTTTCATGTCCTGTATGTTGTGCTTTATGGTGTACTGTGTACAATGTTTGGCTTTTCTAATATCCCACATCCAATAAATGATAAATGAAGGTTAAAAGGTTATTGTATGGTAATTGTTAAACACAGTTTTCAACTCCGATAGTTTTCGTTTTCAACTGAAGATCAAGGTAATCCAGCAGATTTGAATATTCATGTGTCTGTTTGATTTAAATATTATGAGCACGGGTGTTTACGCATACAATTTTAATGTTTTCCTTTGGTGCGTCTTTTGTATTTTAAGCAAACATAAATATTGACCATTGTAATTGATAGCTTATCCTTGTTTTCAATTATTGGGTCAACATGTTATATGTTTTGGGTTTTATGATACCAGGGCGGAGAACATGGCTCGTAAAGCTGCTGGAGAAGAACCTTTGCCGGAGGAAGATCCTTCAAATCCCGTCTTCAAGCCACTCCCTGAGCCATCACGGTTGGAGAGCTTCCTCATAACTAATCAAATTTCCAACTACTGCAACCAAATCAATGGGTATGTGACTAGATTTTTTACGGTGGCCAAGCTCTTCCAGTTTTGAGGAGCAAGATACACTTAGTTTCCGATTTGAAGTTTCTGATTTTCTGCTATTTCTTATATCATGGGTATATCTTCTCTAGCTAAAAAGAGTTTAATCGTCGTTACATTTTTGGTTGTGTTCTGCAGGGTGTCAGGACAGAGCTTTAACAGACTCTATTTGATGAAGGCTTTGCATGAGGATTGAGAAGGCAATTTTTGTTTCTCATTCTGTTGGTTGATGGAATTTTATGGCAACTTTGGTAGTATACTAGAGGATCATGTTTTTAAGGCGACTTATTTTTTGTTTATTTTATGAACCCCATCCAATTGTATGCAGTATAATTTCTTTAGAGATACAAGCAGTGCCAATTGCTTGTTCGAGTTTTATTGCTTAGCATCAACTACTTTAGTTCATTTTTGTGGAAAATATTTATACTTTTTACGGGAGACATTTTGTAAGATTAGAAATTTGATGGTATATGAAGTCTCTCCTTGATTTAAATAAAGTTTTTCTTAGTTTTTTTTAAAAGGAAGGTACCAAACTTTATTCAGAAAAGTGGAAATAAAGATTGTACATCAGCACTTGTGGAAGGCTCAATCTAATAAAGAGTCCCTTTTTCCATCCGGTACCTATCCATATAGGAAAATTCAGGATCCTCCGAAATCACAGTTCGATATTCGAAAGTTGTTCCGAATCTTTAAAAAATTAATTTAAATTATAAAATATTAATTTAAATAATTGTTTTATATTAAGTTTATTGAAAAGTGTGAATATTTTAAAGATTCGGAAGGTGTTTTGGATTCTTTTTTGGATTTTTTTCGAAGGATATGTTCATCCTCTTCCATGTAAATGGAAAAGGCTAATTCTGCAAGGTTATCAGCTACTCTAAAGCGAGCGAGTAGCATATATAAGAAAAGGGCCAGATAGGACCATGCGCCATTGAATCAGTCCTGCAGAATACTACCAAATAAGATAATGGTCGTTTTGTTCTGTTTGCATGAGAAAAAGCAAATCCAAAATGACTGTATTGACGTCTTTTCCAATTATTCTACCCAGTGATTTTTTTCTGAACGTAGATTTTCTGAACATTCGCTGCTGCGATTATTCCAAAGGACTAGACTCGAGTGCTATGGAATAACTTCCCAAGTCTATTTTTAAGCTGTTATTTTAGTAGAAGTACAATAGTTTTATCTGTGATTTAAACCAAGGGATTATACACGTGGTTAAAAACCAAATCTTCAAGTATATTATTTACCATGATATTTTCCTTGACAAACTCCCTCCTCCTTTTCACACGACAAATCATACAAATTACTTTTTCTATTGATTTTTGTATTGGTCAGGTACATACCCAAATCACCTTAACTAATCTTGTCATATCTTAATTATGTTTTTAGATTTTACAAAATTATCAAGTTTTAATTTTGATTTTTGTAAGATTTAGAATTATTAATTTTAGTTTTTATTATTATATAATCATTTTTAATTATTCATTTGTTATTAAAAGATTAATTGACCATCTAGATGTTTATAATTGTTAATAATAATATGTTAACGTGACATTTCTAAATTTTTTTATAAGTCCTTAAAATAAATATTTATTTGTTTAAACGATCATTAAGAATCAAAAATGATGATTTTTATATTTTAGAGGGATGAAAAATAAAAAAAAATATTTTGTAGGGATCAAAATTAAAATTTATTCATTTTACAAAGATAAAAAATATTTTATAAAGACTAAAATTAATGTTTACAAATTTTAGAAAGATAAAAAATCAAAGAAAATTTTTTACAAGGACCGAAATTAAAACTTCTACATTTTATAGGATCTAAAAATATTTAAATATTTTTTAATTATTATTACAGTAATATATAATTTTTTTTATAATCATTCTTTATCTTCTTCTTTTTTTATGGTAGACAATTATTTTAACATTCTCATTTACAGTAATGGATTTCATTTTATTTTTCATGTCCCTTTAAAGCTCTATTCATCATCATATAGTATAGTCAGACGTATAATAGTGGGATAAAACTTGGCTCGAGTCTTGTAGGCACTTTGCCATCACTAATTATCCCTCATGCATTCTTCTATTTAAGTCATCGTGCTTATATCTCGACACCCTCGTTAATTTTTCGATCATTTTGTACTATTTATTCCAAATATCTAAAATCAAGTTATGATGTCGTCTTCCATTTTTACCTCCATGCATGTTCTTCTTGTTTATTGCTAAAATTGCTATACAAACACTATTGTGCTCTTACTTGAGTAAAAACGCTTTGTTTCCAATGTTTATCTCTAAAGTTCAAGTTCAAGGTTAATCACTTTACTTGATTCCCTAATTAAAATTATATCTTCCGCAAAAACGTGTAATTGGGGACAATCTTTTGCGCTGGTTTTTAATAAAATACATATACAATAATTTATTAATGAAAGTACATATACTTCAACTTCAATACGCAAGTTTTGTTATATTATAAACGTTGGTTGAGTCAGCTGAATGAAATAACATTTGATAAAAAAATCTTGAATTCAATTTTGCTTGCCTGGGGAAACTTTTCTTCCCTAAATCTTTTTCTCACCCAAAAATAATAACACAATTCTGTCTTCGTGCCTAAGGTTTTTATATTTTTCCTTTCCCAGTGGATAATCATGTGGCTATTTGCTAATTGCTGTAGTTTGTCTGATAAAAAAAATTATTGCTGTAGTTTGTGACATGATTATAATTTGGTAAATATAATCGATAAACTGATATCAGTAAAAGAGAAAACAAGAGTCAAGACATGTGATAGTGATTTCCATTTATACGAGGAAAATCTGCTTATACTTAAAAGAACAGTCCACATAAACCAAATGGCAAAGGAAATTAAAATGGATACATAACATAAAGGGAAAAAAAAATCTCAACAGTAATAAAGATTTTCTATATGTCAAGCTAGTTAAACACAGAATCATATCTCATCAAAACACTTCCATCCTTTGAGGAACTGGGGTTTTAATGACCTGCAGTATTTGCACCACTTCAGCCATAGTAGGCCTGCTAGAAGGAATCTGAGAGGTGCACACCATTGCTAGCTTCAGAACAGGCAACACCTCATCTTCTGGATACTCACTCATGCTTTGATCCACACACTCCAACACATTACCTTGCTCAAGCAGCACCCTCACATGATCGTTCAATATCAGCACATTGTCCTCACCATACTCCACTGGCCTCCTACCTGTCACAAGCTCAAGGATCATCACTCCAAAACCATACACATCACATTTCTCATTCACCCTTAGGCTCTGACATGCCAATTCTGGTGCCACATATCCTAATGCACTCTGAAACCTATTGCTCATCACATGCCTGTCCAATTTTGTCAGAAGCCTCGCCAAGCCAAAATCCGAGATCTTAGGACTGTGATTTTCATCAAGCAAGATGTTACTTGGCTTTATGTTGTAGTGGATGATTGGTGGACGGAAAGAGTGGTGCAAATGAGCAAGCCCCTTTGCTGTTCCAAGCAAAATTTTGAATCTTGTGGCCCAAGAAAGAGGTGGACTTGAAGGAAGCCTTTCATGTAGCTTGGATTGCAAGCTACCATTTGGTGCATACTCAGTTACTAGAAGCTGTAATTGAGGAGTCCAATAGTATCCTTTCAATGCTATTAGATTAGGGTGTCTTGCTTTCCCTAGGATTCTAACTTCCCTATCAAAGTCTTCTGGATATTGAATTATGTTTGTGGATATAAGCTTCTTGATTGCCACCATTCTACCTTGTGATCCCAATGGAACCTTGTAGAGTGTTCCAAAGACTCCTTCTCCAATCTCAGATGCCTTGTTGAGCAAGGACTCAGGATTGCTGATCCAATCAGGTGAGGACTGGGAATCAAACAGAATAAGCTTTCCTGTGGCTGGACTTCCTGATCTTGAAGAGCTTGAGCACATGCTTTCCAAAGCATTGTCCACAAATGTTAGCCTTCTCCTTACAGAAACATTGAGAAGGCTAACAGCAATCACTCCTAATACAATGACAAAGGATGCAGATATAGCTACAATAGCAGATACACTAAGGAATCTGTGGCGATGGACCGGGCCGGCGACAGATGATTCATTTCTTTGCCTTTGGGGACCTATTTGGTTGTTATATGCATTTGGATCAAGCACTAGTGGCTTGGGGACATTCATCTTACATGGACCCTTCAACAAGGGTGAGCAAAGTCCAAGGTTTCCTTCCAAGGAACTTTTGTCCAAGTTCTGAAATATGCTACTTGCAGGAAGCCTGCCTGTGAGCCTGTTGTATGATATGTTCACAGCCAGAAGACTTTGAAGCATTCCTAGCTCCATTGGTATCTCTCCACTTAGTTCATTGAATTCCAACTTGAGGATTTTGAGCTTGTTTAGCTTTGACATGGACTTTGGAATTAAGCCAGACAAATTGTTGTGAGACATACTCCTGCATTGAAATAGATAGGAATTAGTATCTTCTAAAAAATGCGTACAAAAAATGGTATTAGACTAGAGCATGAGAAATAGGAAGCATACAGCAAGTAAAGAGAGCTACAATTCCCAATATCCTCTGGAATAAACCCCTCCAATGAATTTCCATCTAATTGGAGGACAGCTAAATTGCCTGAATCACATATATCTGTTGGAATTGAACCATGCAATGCACTATTGCGAAGATCCAAAACTGTTAGGTTCTGAAGTAGGCCAAATTCTGGAGGCATCTGTGAATGAAGATCATTCCAAGACAGATTCAAATATCTTAGTTTTGAAAGAAGACCAGTTTCAGCAGGAATATTCCCTTGGATATGGTTATCTGAAAGATCCAAAATGGTTAGAGTTTCTAAAAGCCTGCTTGATCCTGCTGGAATTGACCCTCCCAATTCATTATGAGACAAATCTATTTCCTCCAATCCTAGGCCAAACAAACCCTCTGGAATTGTGCCATTGAAACCATTACCTCTGAGCTGGACCACAGATAACTTTGTGCAGGAACTTAATGATGATGGAATAGTTCCAACAAGCTTGTTATTTGAAATGCTCAGATGAGTCAGTGATCTCAGTTTCCCTATGGACTGTGGCATGCTTCCAGTGAACTGATTGTTTGAGAGCTCAAGATACTCCAGATTGGTCAAGTTACCAATCCATTGATGGAACTCACCGGTGAAAAGATTATTTGATGCCTTGAAATAGCTCAAAGAACTAAGCCTCCCAAGTGACTCAGGTAGTTCTCCACTGAACTGATTGCCACTAAAATCCAACCTAATCAGATGCAGGCAGAGTCCAATATCATTGGATAATGGACCTGAAAACTGGTTACCTTGTAACAAGACCTCTTTCAAGTTATGTATGGATGAAATTCCATTAGGAAAGGTCCCAGATAAGTCATTGTTGGATAGATCCAAAGTCCTAAGCCTGTTCAGTGACCAAATCCCAGTGAAGTCCACATTACCAGAAAAACGGTTATTGGAAAGATTGAGGCTATTCAAGGAGGAACATCTATACAGTGAGCCAGGAACTTGTCCATCAAACATGTTCCTAGCTAGAGAAATTTGACGAAGGGAAGAACAGCTCTCAAAAAAACTCTCAGGGATTGGTCCTGAAAATGAATTCTCTGAAAGATCAAGAAACTTTATTGAATTCATATTCACAAGAGAAGTAGGAATGGAACCAGAAAGAGCATTGTGACTAAGGTTCAGCCTCTCGAGACTATTGGAAAGAGTAAGTGATGGACTAATACTCTCACTCAAGTTGTTGTGAGAAAGGGACAATACCGTTAGATGTTGCAACTTCTCAAGGCCTCTTCCTATCTTCCCGGATAGTCCTAAGCCATCCAATGAGACCTCAGAAACTCTTCCACTCACGGGATTGCACTGCACGAACTGCCACGAACATGGATTCGCATCATCTTCATTCCATGAAGCAAGATTAGAAGAAGGGTCATGAAGGTCAGATTTGAACACAATCAAACCAAGAACATCATCATTCAACTGAACGGGCATCTCATTGTTCCCCAAGCATGTCACCAAATAGGAAACTGAAATCAACACACTCAAACTCAAAACTCTCAAGTGGAACTGAAAACTAGTCATTTTTCTTCTTCTTGTTGTTCTTCGTATTCCTGAGGCTGAGTTATCTTACTATCTTTAGTAGTTAGCTATCTATGAGTATGGCTTAGGGATAACATAGTATGTGAAAACTGTAATGACTGGTAGATGTTACACTACCTTAGCGAAAACGATATTACATGTGTGCTCACGAGAAGGAGAGTATAATATTTTACAAAAAAAAAGGGTTGAGAGAAGGGTCATTGAGAAAGCCAATAATGGGTGAATATGGTATTGTTAGCGTAGTCCGTGATCAAACAGTTTTGGTCCAACAAACGTGGCTAAGCTACTGACAAATTGCCACCCCATTACAACTTACAAGGCCTTTAGGCTTTGTCGTGTCCTACAACCTCTACCTCCTTGTGCCTTCCTTTTCTCTTATTTTCAAATACTGACTCAGTTAATATGCTTTATAATATGTTAATGTTACTAATTACAACCTGTGCATAAATCAATTAATACAATATTGTTCTATAATTTAATCAGTAATCTCAAGTTTTAGTTTTCGATATACAGTTGTGTTAAATTATTAGAAAAGAGTAATTCTATTTGCCTCAGAAAAAGATAATTTTCGGTAAAAAAATATATGTAGTATGAAAAAAGAAAAAGAAAATTGTTGAGAATCTGAATCAGCATCTATTATTTGAGTTTATTTCATATTAATGGAGCATTATTAGAATTCTTACGTTTATGATTTTTTAATTATAGGAATTATAGGTGCTGTTACACTTTTATGAGTATTTATATTTGTTAGAATCAAGATAATGATATTGGTGCTTCCTATTATACTGTAGCAAGCTTGCATAAGTCCGATCCCAGATTCCAATATACATACACTCATCATCAGGACTCAGAGAAACCCCAGAAATTTCCCCAAAGAAATCAATCTCTTGACGTTTTCTGTAGTCTGCCTTTGTACTATAAACATGCACAAAATCTGCAGGCTCAGCAACCACCATATATTGGCCATCTGAAGAAAATCGAATAGACCGGGTCGCCCCTAGGTTACCCTTGAGAATGGCGATAGGAGATGACAAGTGTCTAGCATCCCATACTCTGCAAGTCTTGTCCTGATTCCCGGTTGCAAAGGTACGTCCATCCGGATGCCATGCAGAAGCAAACGAGTAATCTCGATGACCGACCATTGTGCCAACAGTCTGAATAATCAAACAAGTCCCAAATATGTTAGTGGAAGTTTCTTCTGGTTTTTGGTAGTGTAAAGCTACAAAGTAACTACATGGTGTTCAATTTCATTGCATTCTTATTTTGCAACTTTATCTCCCTTTACCGACCCTTTTCATATATAGCATGCATTCACCGAATCACTATCCCCCATTGAGATGTTTAATTTAATAGTGACTACCCGTATCACAACATATATGGTCAACTAAAGTTTTGCTCATTTCATATTTTCTCCTTGTATGATCAATTTAAACTTAAGACAGGGAGACCAGCAATACGCGTACAAACAAATTATGTTAATTTACCGGTTTCAATTTGATCAAATTAATTCACAAAATATGGTAACCAAAGGCATGCTTCCAAAAATAACAAAGAGCTAGGGACTTATTTTATCGATTGCTTTCCAGTTTTCTACCAATAATTCAAGATTAAAAGAAAATTTCAAGTTCACAAAAAAAAAAAAAGACTAGTCTTTTTTCTCTAGCAATTGCAATATCTAAAAGCCAAATAGGAAACTTAACCAGCTTCACAACCATATACAATAATCATAGACATAAATTTAGGAGAAACAAAATTAAAGGATTTGATTCATTAGCAAACGCATCAACTAAAAGGCCATCAAAAGATAGTAAAAGAATATTCACCGGGAAATAAAGAAGGAAAAAAATGTACTCGAACAGAAATTTCCAATAAATGCATGACCAGAGGAACTATGTACCTTCCCATTTTGTGGATCCACTAGCAATCCATCTAGGTTATCTCCAACTCCTTTTTTATTTTTCTATCCCGTGTTACACAAAAGATAAAAGGCCCTTTTACATTTTGTTCTAAAAAATTTAATAGGATATCTACGTTTTTCAGTATCAAAATAATAATAATAATAATAATAATAATAATAATCTATACCTATTATAAAGGAGATACACTTTAGTAACCACTTTTTTGATCTCCACTTTTTAGTAGACCGTAAAAAAAATTCTTATATTCTAATTTTTAATATTTGTTTGTGTATAATTATGAAATACAAGGAAGGTGAGACATGATTTCATTATAGAAATATCCTTTGATGCTGTGGTCTTTGATTAATCAGACTGACCTACATAAAATACTGCCAGAAACAAAGGGGGGAGGATCTAGAATCCCAAACTGCTCTATAAAATAACGTCAATGAGTAACCTAAATCAACTAGCAGGAACCAAGATCAAAAGTAGGAATCAAGATAATGATATTGGTGCTTCCTATTATACTGTAGCAAGCTTGCATAAGTCCGATCCCAGATTCCAATATACATACACTCATCATCAGGACTCAGAGAAACCCCAGAAATTTCCCCAAAGAAATCAATCTCTTGACGTTTTCTGTAGTCTGCCTTTGTACTATTTGTCATTTAATTTTATGTTTATGAGCAGAATTTGTATCAATTTTCAATTATGTATTTAAAAGGTTACAATTATGAATAAAATATATGAGAATAATGTTACTAGTGAGGTTTCATCATTCAAATAGGGAAGCGTATTTTATTGGTGAGAATATTGTTGTTGAATGATATGATGCATTGATCTTGATGTTTCTATGAAGAGGAGCTGACAGTCTATTAACAAGGCCCCCCTTTTTAGTTGAAATTACAGATACTATAGGATACTTCCAACTCGTCTCCGCAAAATGTTATATGATTTATTATTTTTGCTTTGGTGGTTTTGAAATTGAAAAGGAAAAAAAAAATAGTTGTCTTTCTATCAAGAGAAAAGAATCTCGATTCTGGTAGAATCAGTTCTGGTTTATTAGAGAGAGATCGTAGTTCACATGAAAAATAATACTCTATTTGCTGTGGTTACCATAAAAAATAATATAGCATGGATAGTACAACATTAAGGTGGGTAGAAAATGTCCCTAATGCTAAAGCAAAGTAAATAATAAAAATGGGAAGAATCAATTTATAAACAAGATAATTAAATAATTGAATTACGTCATAAGAATTGTTTGATTGTTAATGTTGTTTAGCCTGAGTCATAATCACTCTATGATATTACTATATATGAATAGATCCTATAGGGGACAAAAACCATGTTGCTATCTTGTGGAATGAAAATGAGAAACTGATTTGCATTTTGAGTATATCACCTTAGTAAGGCAACCCATGATAGCTACCCCAATTTCCATAATTTAACTCTCTGACGGAGAAATACTATTAGGGAGATTTTACGTGAATATCTTCACTTTAGGTAGAATTTCCAGCTGCCAGGTACTTTTCCAATTTTATGTGTGGCTAGGTATGTATCTATTATCTTTGGAGGATAAATAATAATATTTTTCTTCTGACATACTATGTTATAAATTAAAATTTATTAAAAGTTAAAAAATCACATCTGAAACTAACACATAAAATTTAGATTACTATCATCTATAATTATAATAATAATTTTATTATTTATTATAATATAATATATAAAATTCAAAATGCAAGCTATAAAACTAACATATTTATATTTCTTCTTGGTTATGACATCTTATGGCTTTGTTTATGGACATCACTCAAAAAATTTATAATTAATGAAAACAATTGTGTGTATATCACTACAAAAAAATAGATTTTTAGTGGTATTCTTTTGGTGGCAATAAAAATTGCTACAAAATCTTTTACCAGCATTTTCACATTAGTCATTGTATGCAGTGTTGCTAAAATATTTAGCGATAATTATTCTAAATGCTAGTAAAAACTCTTATAATGGTCAGAAAAAAGTGTATAACTTTTTGTGACATTTTTTACTTTCTAATCGATGTGAGACTTGTAAAATGAGTACGAATAATTGCTGATAAAAACCCTTATAATGGTCGGAAAAAAAGTGTATAACTTTTTGTGACATTTTTTACTTTTTAGTCGATGTGGGACTTGTAAGATGAGTACAAATACTCTTTAATTACTTTATCTCTAGTCAATGTGTGACTTATAAGATGAGAGTTGTCTTCTACTTATATATTCTTTTTAATTTTTTTATTTTTAATTACCTTATCAATAGTTGGTCTCCTTAAATTTAAGGAGTATTGAGTTTGATAATAGTGAGCAATCTCATACCAACTTAGAATAGTAAGTTATAGGTCTAATTCAACCCTACATAACAAACTTATAAGGGGAGAGTTATTATCCATTTATATACTCTTTAATTATCTTATTTCTAGTCGATGTGGGACTAAAGTTTTTCTTAATAAATAATTGTCGCTAATAGTAAATTTTGGTGTGATATAAATACATTTTTAGTGATCATTATATATTAGTCACTAATACTTATATTAAATAATAAAATAAAGGTAATTAATTTATTACCGTTAAATAATTGTCGGTAAAAATAAATTTTGTTGTAGTGTATAAACTCATGTTCATTATTGTAGTTATTAATGTGTCAATTTTATGTTCTCCATTTTATATTATGTTTTTCTTTTATTGACATTTTATATTATATTACTATATAGTATTCATAACTTTTTTGACCTAGTATATGTAATCTAATTTTATTCCTAAAAGAAGGTAAAAATTGTTGATAGGTTTTTTAATTTTTTTTATGCTTGAATCTCTAAATTTTAATTTTGTTATACAAATTAATCCTTCCGTTATATTCAATTATTAACTCTTTTAGTTTCTTGAACGGTTAATGGTTAAGTGTCAGGTTGATACCTATTTTCTCTTCTAGTTGACAATTCTCTCGCCTAATCACCTAATATGGATTATAATCCAAGGTTTTGAACCTTTCCAAAAAGTAACTAATGCTTTGTCGTATTTAAATATTTTAGTCATGAATGTTCTGATGAAAATAGAAGATTGTTGTTAGGTTTCGTAAGGTTACCTGTAGTTATATTTTTTTGTCTTAATCATCTTTAATTTCTTTGACTGTTTTGGGAATTTAGGATTATAAATCACAAACTATTGAATTTGAGGCTTACTAAAATGAGTGGTTGTTGAGATTTCCGTTGAAGTACTTTTGTTATAATTGAAATTTAGTTTAATTCCATCAACGGTCTCAAACACGGCAAGTATACCGGCCGTTCAAGTAGTAAAAAAAATATCGTATCCACAGGGATTAGAAGGTAAAATAAGCATTTAATGACTATTCGTGACTAAAGAATGATTCCAAATTGTAGTTCGTCATGTATATGAATCGAAGAGCATGACTACTGGAATGAAAGCTATAAATAAATAATGGTTTGTGAGTGGAAAAGGGTAGAAATGGTAATGGTTTTGTGAGGTTGTGGGGTCAGATTTCACCAAACGTTACACTAATGAGTCCTTAATCTCTTGTTAAATTCATTGCTTAGTCAACCCAAGAGTTACTCAAACCTAATCCCTTAGAAAAAGAGCCTAGATGCGGATATTGAATATCAATCCCTTGAGTACCCAATATCTACACCCGCATTACGGGCTAGGGTTTAAGACTACTAATGGGTCAAGCTCTATCCCTAGATACAATCACCACTAGGCATATGTTTCAGAACTAGTTTCAAAGGTTATTTTCCAATACCCATGGAACCTTAAATCATGCAAAGGGTGATCAATCCAAAGCAAGCATTAAGAATAGAAACAAACACAACAACGAATAAAACAACATGTATATATATCATTAAAACCGTAAAGATTACAATAGAGTACGTTGGTTACATCTAACCCCACAAAATGGGTGAAACCACTCAACAAAGAGGGCAAATACAAAATAGAGATGGAAGAGGAAGTGAAGAACCGAAGGAAAGATCCGCACACGGACGATCCCAAGCCCTGGGAATCCCTTCCGCAGCTCCTGGAGGCGCCCAATGTGAGAATGAGGGAGAAAACCCTCGAAATTTTCCTTTTATGCAGCCTGAGGAAACAAATTAGGGTTATTGCGCCCGGCGCGTTACACTTCGCGCCCGGCGCGGGCTTCCCCTGATGCTCAATGTGCTCTCGACCTTGAATTGCGCCCGGCGCAATTCTAAATTGCGCCCGGCGCGA